GTTGGAAAGAGGAAGAAATGTCAGTGTCTGCTGCTGTCCTTCTCTGCCTCTTTATCTGTCTCTCTTTCTCTCAGTTGTTATGTCCAAAGTCAAACACACCTGTATCGATTTTATTTAACTCCGTGTATTACCATGCGTCATCTCATCTCTAAAGGGATTAAAAGCCACACTTACATTTCATTGCTTTAAAATGGACTTCCCAAATATTTTCTGTTTGGTGATGTCACCAACATCGTTAGTTTCTAACAAGGCATATCTTATCAGTTAAAGAATGTGTTGTATTGCGTTATTTGAAACTTGTTCTGAAAAGAGGCAAACAATTTTATTCTTTGAAGAGCAAGGAATTCTACTTCTGAGAGGCCACGTTTAGATAGATCTGTCTTTATATAGTGAAGCTTTCTTCTCCCTTCCCTTTCTCTTTCCTTCTCTTCCCCCTCCTCCTCCTTCTCGTTTTTAGCTAAGAATATGTCTCATTTTACTTTCTGCTCTCCAGCAACAAATGGCACCATCCACCTTGTGTAGTTAACTGTTGCATCTTCTGAAGGTAAAAGAGGAGACTGCAAAGTCTGAGTGCTAAAATTACCGTCTTGTTTTTAGAGACTTAATTTAAAAATAAATTCTGATGATGTAAAAAGAAAAAGAACAAAAATTCCCTTTGTATTTCTTCAATTTTCTTGATCTTATAAGTAACTGACTTTTTAGAAAAACATTTTCTTGCTTTTCCAAAATAACAGAGAGAACCATTTCCACTCATCTTTTTGGGTTAGCAAATAAATACAAAACGATCAGGCCTTTTATGTCTTTCAGAAAGACAATATTTTTTTGGCCAGTTCTATTACTATTTCACATTTTTTTAAGTTAAGTAATGGTTTGACTTGCATTTTTAACTTTACTGGTGAAAATGTATCCGTTTCGCCCGTGAAACCATTGCTGAAATTGAGTAAATTCTCCTTTTTTAGTTTTTAAACGATTTCCATTTTGAGTTCAATTGAAGGTCACTGCAGTGAGCCTCTCATTTCCTTTCATGTTGTGTGGTAGTCTGTCATTTTTTAGTGGTTTTGATGCGGTTCATCTTTGAAAGCCACAGGAATTCCACCCAGGGTTCATTTGTCTCCTAGGAAGTAAAGAGCCTGCTGGCACTCATTTACCTTGTTTTGTATGAATTATAAAAGAAGGAAATCTTTAATGAGGTCAATGATGAGCTTGCGACTTTAAGTGTGTTAAAGTCACAATAAGGTTTTATGACTTTGGACGTCAGTTTTGGTGTGTATGAAGCAAAAGATATAATTGAAATGAGACTACTTCCCATCCATCCATCCATCCATCCATCCATCCATCCATCCATCCATCCACACTCCCCTGATCACTCATCCATCCCTATGGAGGTTTATTGCATGACACGTTTAGACCTTTTTCTGATGTTTCCCTTTCTTTCTTTCTTTTCTTTCCCTTTCTTTCTTTCTTTCCTTCCTTCCTTCTTTCTTTTCTTCCTTCCTTCCTTCCTTTTCTTTCTTTTTTTTTTTGAGATGGAGTCTCGCTCTGTTGTCCAGGCTGGAGTGCAATGGTGCAGTCTTGGCTCACTGCAACCTCTGCCTGCTGGGTTCAAGCAATTCTCCAGCCTCAGCCTCCCGTGTAGCTGGGACTACAGGCATGCACCACCATGCCCAGCTAATTTTTTGTAATTTTAGTAGAGACAGGGTTTCATCATGTTGGCCAGGCTGGTCTCGAATTCCCGACCTAATGATCCACCTGCGTTGGCCTCCCAAAGTTCTAAGATTATAGGCATGAGCCATCATGCCAGCTTGATTTTTCCCTTTTTCTAATGAATTATATTGGAGTAAAATCTAGCAAAATCCCTAAAATACTCAAAAGCAAGACTGATGGTTACTTTTGGGATATTGAGCCTGATTATTTCCCTGTGTGAAGATACTCTTGTTTTATTATTTGCTTAAGGAACAATCAAATGAATTTGGAGGCAGTTTCTTGTCTTATTCTATTCTATAAAATCTGAACTAAATCTGAAAGTTAGGTTTCCACTGGATGTGGGGAATGCTTTCCTGCATGTGTGTGCACATGTGCTATATGCGTAAATACAAAGTATGGTTGAAAAATTTAAATCTTGATTTGAACACTGAGTTGTTTTGAAACCAGTTAATTGTAGGAAAGATCGGTTAGATTGAACCATATCAGTTGTTTTGGAATTAAATATTTTTCCCTGCAGAATTCAGCTTTTCACTCCCTTCTTTTTCCTCTAAACAAGCCTGGGTGTTGGGAAACCCTTGCTGGCTTGCTGTTTTTGCCCGCAGCAGAACGAATGCCCACCTGAGGTTTAGAGCTGTGTAAGTAGGTTGTATATCGCTATGGAAAATCTACACAGCTCTCTCTGGCTGAAACACTCTAGAAGAGGATTTCAGTCCCCTGTCCTGACAGAGCAAAAGGTTTTTCTCAGTGTCTTGCTGAAAGTAGAGATTCTGATAATAGCTAAGCAATTCTCCGAAAGTGTCTGATTTGGAATCCGTGCCAGAAGTAGAGAAAGAAAAAGACTTTCCCCTGCATCCGAGGTTTTCAAAGTCCTGGGCTAGAAAGGGAGGTTTCAGGTACACACTGCTTTTCTTGAACGTTCTAGTCACAGAAGGAAAATACATCTTCTCCTGGTATCTCTATGAAAATATTATAGAAGCTGTAATGACTGTGCTTACTTTTTAAGAAAAAGGAAGTATTAGCATATGGATAGATTTTAGGTTTTTTTTTTTTTTTTGAGACAGAGTCTTGCTCTGTCACCCAGGCTGGAGTGCAGTGGCATGATCTTGGCTCACTGAAGCCTCTGCCTTCTGGGTTTAGGGAGTGCTCCCTGCCTCAACTTCCTGAGTAGCTGGGATTACAGTCGCCCACCATCCGTGCCTGGCTAATTTTTGTAATTTTTAGTAGAGACCGCGTTTTGCCGTGTTATTCAGGCTGGTCTTGAACTCCTGACCTCAGGTGATCCTCCCACTGTGGCCTCCCAAACTGCTGGGATTACAGGTGTGGGCCACCGTGTGTGGCCAATTTTAGCTTCTTACTTTATAAATCATTAATGGAGTGAATTTGGGCTGTTAGAAAGCCAATCTGGGCAATTTATAGCTTTTCAAATTAACTCTCTTCCTTCTCATTTCCTCCTGAGAGCTATTCTTTTTAAGGATAGAAATAATATCTTTTTATGTATATCTATACCCAGCTTGTGGGGGTGGGCTTAACCTATTGTCAATAAAAATCTATGTTACAAGCAACACAAATGCAATGAGATTGTTTCAAAGGTCTTTCAAAATGGGTAAGACCAATCTTTTTTTCCGTTTAGAACTCATATACAAGGCTGTTAGACTTGATTGCTTATGTTAAATTATATTTCTTCTCTGTGGGCATAGAGAGTAAGTTAGAAAATCACTCACCATGAGTAGAAATTAGAAAAAAGCTTGCTGAGTTGAAAGTGATGATAGGCCGGGCGCGGTGGCTCACGCCTGTAATCCCAGCACTTTGGGAGGCTGAGGCGGGCGGATCACGAGGTCAAGAGATCGGGACCATCCTGGCCAACACGGTGAAACCCTGTCTCTACTAAAAATACAAAAAAATTAGCTGGGTGTGGTGGCGCGTGCCTGTAGTCCCAGCTACTTGGGAGGCTGAGGCAGGAAAATTGCTTGAACCCAGGAGGTGGAGGTTGCAGTGAGCCGAGATTGCGTCACTGCACTCCAACCTGGTCACAGAGCAAGACTCCGTCTCAAAAAAAAAAAAAAGTGGTGATAAAGAGTACCCTGGGTGGCAAACATCAGACTGGCAGTGCAGTATTCTGTCTTGAATTTGTTGATGGCTTTTATGGTTAATAATTGGAAACCTAATTGTTATTATTATTATTATTTTGATATCTGCCAACTTTAATGTGCCATCTCAACTTACAGAGGTTTGGAGTTACTTTGTCTAAAGTAGTCACTAGCTACATGTGGCCATTAAAATTAAGGAAAATTCAAAACTCAGTTCTTCATCTCACTAGCCTCTTGACAAATGGTCAGTGGTCTCATATAACTTGTGGCTACTTTATTTGACAGTGGTGGTCCAGAAGTTTGAAAAAAATTAAAAAAAAAAGTCTTTATAGGCTGTTGCCTACCCATGTTTTGTTACTTTGCTTATAAAGAGGTGAAAAACTAAATGATATATAAGCTATTTACTCCATAATATCAAAACCAAAATGAAGATTAGATTAATTGGTGCAAGACCATAAGTAAAGTTCTACCATTTTGAGCCTTGAATGGGCGAGTTCTTTTACTCCAAGGACTGTTCATTTGTGTGTTGGGATTTTGTGATTGTGAACAGCATAATACACACTTGAAGCCTTAACTGGAACTGCGTTTCCTTCTAGCAACATTCCCCACACCAAGAGAAATTTCATACTTTCTCCAGATCTTTGTAATGTGAATTGACCAAACAGAAAATAGAGTGGAAAATTGAGGTGGCTGCCATCTTGTTTCTCATTTTTGAATAGCTCAGATCATTCAGTCATTCAACTGGTCTACATTGAACACATACTCTTTGCCTGGTACCAAGGTAGGCATAAATAAAGCACGGCCCCTACCTTCAAGGAACCGAGCTTAGAATGATAAATAGACATGTAAAGCAATACTTATAATGCAATTAGGTAAGTATATTAATAGAATTATAACTATGGATATAAAATATGGATATACAAGTAAATACAGATAAATTGTTTTGGACTTAAATGGTTTATTTCTAGGTTTTTACATTGGAATTATTTTGTTTCTTCTATTTGCTGAAAAAAATAAGAACTCAGCAGTCAGATTCTTCTACAGAACCTGCTATCCTTTGGTTCCGTGTTGAGGAAGCAGAGCTGTGAGTAGGGAGCTTTTCGGAGCTGGTTGGAAGCCGCAAGTGTGTGTATGTGGAGTGAGTGGGCCTGCCCACGTGCTTGGTGTGTGATGGGTGTCCCCAGTCACGGCCTCTCCATGTCTCTCCAGCTCTCTGCGCCATTGTTGCCACCATCTGGTTCCCTGTGTGTGCCCACCGTGAGACCACCATCGTGAGCTTTGGCTACTCCCTGTATGCAGGCTGGATCGGTGCTGTGCTGTGCCTCGTGGGCGGCTGTGTCATTGTCTGCTGCGCTGGAGATGCCCAGTCCTTTGGTGAAAACCCTTTCTACTACTCTTCGGGCTCCAGCTCCCCGACTCATGCCAAGAGTGCCCATGTATAAAAGGGCTGCTTGGCTGCCCACAGAGGTGCTGTGATGCTGGGCTCAGGGCCCTAGGTTTGCTCGTCGCAGTCGGGGGAAGCCCACTCCTCTGCCAGGCTCTAAAGCCAAAGGTCTAGAAAAGCATTCTGTCTGGCATTTTGTAGTCTTCACTTCTCCCCTTTTCCCCATCTTTTGGTTGCCTTAAAAGAAATCTCTAGCTCAGATAATGCCCATACATTTTTCTCATGGTGTTGCCCACTGTTAGCTCTTTTCTTGGCCATTCATTTGCTGTTTATTAAAAAATATATTATATATATTTTGTTTCTTTAAATTTCAAATGTCTTGCAAACATCACTGAGTTAGGTGGGGTGGGGAAGAGAAACACAGGACACTTTTCTTTTTTAAACAGGGTCTCACTCTGTTGCTTAGGCTGAAGTGCAGTGGTGTGATCATGGCTCACTGTAGCCTCAACCTCCTGGGCTCAAGTGATCCTCGTGCCTCAGCCTCCTAAGTAGCTGGGACTGCAGGCATCCACCGCCGCATTCAGTTAATTTTTAAGTGCTTTTATAGAGAGGAGGGCTCCCTATGTTGCCCAGGTTGGTCTTGAACTCCTGGATTCAAGGTGTCCTTTGCCTCGGCCTCCCAAAGTATTGGGATTGTAGAAGTGAGCCACCGCACCCGGCCAAGACACTTTTCAAACTGATACAGATGACAATGGGAGCCTCATAAAGATGCCTTTTGTTTTCTCTGTACTCTCCAGTTCTAAGTTCATTTACTTGTCAGAGACAGAAAAAGATAGCACTGGGGACATGGGATGGGGGAGGGAGGGGAATAGTGGAACTTCCTTTCCACAGGAGAGTTTCCCTTTTGTAAGTTGAGGGCCAGGGATAGGGTATTTTTTAGTTTGTGATTTTACATTTATCTGTACATACTTTTTCAAGATTGATCATTTTTATAACCATGGTTTTCCTGAAATCCTCGATTCATCAATATGAAGGAAATGAACCACGTAGACTTTTTGCAATAAATAACAGTACAAGTGAGTATAACTTTAACTGATGTTCCACACCACATTTTTGATTTCAGGTTTGTTTGATGCGGTTTTTAATCATACGTCTTCATGTGCTTCTAACTAACACTTTTTTAAAGCTTTCCCCCACTTTTCTCTCTATTTGCATCGTTAGCCATGTTGTTTAACATAAATTGTACTGCTGGATTTACGGGTGTAAACATTGATGGTATATCAGCATCCAAGACCCCAGACTCTCCAAATACTGATGGTGCATTTTATTCTTTAAGTGAAATCTGTGCAATAAAATAACAGACTGTCTGCAAAACTGGGCTTCAATCTTCTGTTGTATCCAGAGGTATCATTATTGATTTAAAAAAATCTCATTAATCTCTACTGGTAATTTATAGGGAACTTGATCAGTGATCCAAGAACAGGTGATTCTGCATTGCCTTGGATAATTAAAAAGTTATATTTGATTCACTGTGTCGTGGTGGTAGTTTGTGGTCATGAAAACATAACCTTGATGCTCTCTAGGCTTCTTTTTTTTTTTTTTTTTGAGACGGAGTTTCGCTCTTGTTACCCAGGCTGGAGTGCAATGGCGCGATCTCGGCTCACCGCAACCTCCGCCTCCTGGGTTCACGCAATTCTCCTGCCTCAGCATCCTGAGTAGCTGGGATTACAGGCACGCGCCACCATGCCCAGCTAATTTTTTGTATTTTTAGTAGAGACGGGGTTTCACCATGCTGACCAGTATGGTCTCGATCTCTTGACCTCGTGATCCACCCACCTCGGCCTCCCAAAGTGCTGGGATTACAGGCGTCAGCCACCGGGCCCGGCCCTCTCTAGGCTTCTTAAGCGGGATGACTTTATGGCATCTTTCATTCAGCGATCAATGGGCAGCAATCAGAAACAAAGTTCTCAGTATTATGTAGTTTATGTCCCTCATCTACTTTGAACACTTAGCAAAGGAATTGATTGGCTAGGTGTAAAAGGAGAATTAAAGAAACCTATTTTATTGGATCTTTAAGTAATAATACTTAAATACATTTCATTCAAACGTGTAGATGCTTGGACATTTTGGACAGACACACTGAGTTGATTTTTATTCGTTTTCTATTCCAGAAACTCTGTCAAGTTTTGGGCTGGTCTGAGAAAACACGTTACAATCTGTTTTGTCAGATTTCTTCCAAGTAAAATTCTAATTGCATTAGCTGATACTGTAATAATTGGCAAATGTTTCCTCTTTGGAAATACCAATTTGGGCTATCATTTTGCAGACATGTGTGTAGTTTTCATTATAACCTGGTGGAAACTATTTCTAAATTACTTATAAAAGACAATTTTTTTTTTGTTTGCTATTTTGAGATGGAGTCTTGCTCTGTCATCCAGGCTAGAGAGCAGTGGTGCGATCTTGGCTGACTGCAACCTCTACCCCTTGGGTTCAAGCAATTCTTGTGCCTCAGCCTCCCAAGTAGCTGGGACTACAGGTGCATGCCACCAGACCTGGCTAATTTTGGTATTTTTAGTAGAGACAGGGTTTTGCCATGTTGGTGTTGGCTGGGCTGGTGTGGAACTCCTGGCCTCAGTGATCCTCCTGCATCAGCTTCCCAAAGTGCTGGGATTACAGGTGTGAGCCACAGCGCCAGACCACAGAAGACAATTTTTATGTTAATAAAATACTTGCTTAGCTATAACGCAGTTTTTGTAAGGATCAAAGTCATGTGACTACATTGGAGGACCCTCCCTATCTCATAAAAACTTGTCAGGGTATTCTTGCAGCACACATCCATTTATACCAGCCATGTTTCAAGTGTTCAGTAGCCACATGTGGTTGGAGGCTTTTGGATTGGACAGCTTTTGAACTGGACTGTTCAGTTCTGTTCCACTGAGACAGAACCTGTGGAACAACAGGTTCTGTTTCGGTAACCCTCAAGAGGAATTCAGTCTTGATGATCTTATCTGCTCTCATTAGAGTCCCCTGAGAACTTGGTGATTACAATTTATTGAAGAATTACAAGAAATCTTCACCTAGGTGAAGACAGTGACCCCCAATCATATGTAAAATGGCAGGCTTAGAGTACTCTGCCTAAGTAACAGGGCAAAGGGAATTCATGCTATTGAGACCTGTTTGTGTTAGGAACTTCATACATTAAATCCTCCCCACTATCCCCATTTTATAAATGAGAAAAATAGTATGTAGAGAGCTTAGGTTGTCAAGATCATACAGCCACTATATAAATGAAAAGGGATTTAAGTCTTTGTAACTCTAAAGCCTGAATTCTCCAATTTAGTAATCACAGCTAGGGCCGAGCACAGTGGCTCACATCTGTAATCCTAGCACTTTGGGAGGCTGAAGTGGGCAGATTGCCTGAGCTCAGGAGTTTGAGACCAACCTGGGCAAGAAACCCTGTCTCTACTAAAATTCAAAAGAAATTAACCAGGCATGGTGGCGTGTGCCTGTAGTCCCAGTTACTTGGGAGGCCGAGGCAGGAGAATTGCTTGAACCCGGGAGGCAGAGATTGCAATGAGTTGAGATTGCGCCACTGCACTCCAGCCTGGGCAACAGAGTGAGACTTCGTCTCTACAGAAAGAAAAAAAAATAAACAAACCACAGCTATGAAATCAAGTAAACTAGAGCTCCACTCCCTTCATTAGGGTGGGGAGCCAAGAATCTGCATTGTTGTGAACCCTCAGAGATTCTTAGAAGGTGCTCCCCACACAACATTTTGAGAAACAGCAAATGAAAGAACTTCTTTCTCACGCCTTTCTGTAAGTGCAGCTCATGTCCTCCCGGCCTTCTCTCTGATGGTCATTGGAGATGAGATTATTTCTAGAACCACACCATGCTTCATCTTCTCTCTTTATCTTGTTCTCAAGAGACCACATGCATGAAATTTTTGGTTTGAAAATGAACCAGTCCGGTTCATGCTTTTCAAGAATTTGATAGAAACGAAATTAGAGAGAAAGAATGTTTCAGGGGTATCTCTGAATCTAGGGATGTTAGTTACAACGACAGTAATAAAAAAGAGAAGATTGTGTGCTTAAATAATACAAGATACATATTTGTGCTGAATTGGTGGTTTGGGGTAACAATAGAACAAGGTTTGGTTGTATCTTGCCCTGTTTTTTTTTTTTTTAATTAAAAAGAAATCTGCGTGTCAGTGTTTCTCTATACAATGTACACAATGTGAACTGCAGCATCTTAAATGTTTGGCAGGACATTCATGCTCATGACATCACATGCTGAGAGGACAGGGAGGCCACTGTGGGGCTGGCCTCGAAGAGAGGCAGCATCAGTGCTACCATTGAGATGTCCCCACAAAAGAGTGTGTGACAGCCAGATGTGCGTCTTAATGGAGACTGAACCAGGATTGTGGGAAGGACGTTGGCACACGCTGCTTATGGCTTGAATAGCAGCTCTTGAGGAATCTATATTTCTCTACCTCATGCAGAATCTTAGAGATCTGGCTTTGTAGTCCCATGGCTGGGGGAGGGAGTGGAGATGGAGGGACTTGTCACTGCTCCATGCCCCATTATTGCAATGGAAAATGTGGAAATGTGAAGCCATTTCTAGAGGATCGTGGAAGGTATGAATTGCTTCCATATACAAAAATACAAACAGAAAAGATCACCTTCCAAATACAAAAGATCACCTGATCGTCGCAGTGGGGGGCTTTCTTGAATTAAAATGGTTGTATCTCTATTTCTCTTACGTTGAATTCTATAGCTATGCTTTTCAAACTGCAGTGTTGGTACAGATCACTTGGGGATCTTGTTTAAATGCACATTCTGATTCAGCAAGTGTGTGATAGGGCCTTGGCATCTCTGACCAGCTGTCAAGGGATGCTGATGCTGCTGATGCTGATGGTCCCAGACTCACACCCTGAGTAAACAGACTCTGGACTCTACCTCCTGCTGAAGCACAGGCCGGCTTTGTGCCTAGACATCGTGAGTGGTGCCTCTTTCGGTGGAAGACACTGGGGGTGGTTCTTCACCCTTCAAAATAATTCTGGAGCCTCACTGGTCAGTCATTCTGGTGTAGAATCATTCTTTTGGCTTCAAGGTTTTGTTCCTTATTTAAACATGAATACCCAGTGGTATGCTTGAGCTAAGTACTGGCTCACGAAAGCTGATTGTTACATTTTCAGGAATTTTGTGAGCTGGTTGATGTCAAGTTGGGAGCTCGATAGCAGCCATGGTGGGATAGTCATTCCACAGAAATCACCAAACACCGCAGACCTTCTCCCCCACCTCCACCTTCCAGCCTGTAGCTAAACGATTACCAGCCCACCACTGCTCAGCTCTTGGAGAACTGTACATTAAGCTATATCAGTCCTTGTCGCTGTAACTCAGAATGGCTCTATTCCTCCTCTCCCTGAGAACAAGTTTCAATGAGGGAAGATGGGGAGAACTGGGAGGACAAGGGGTGACTGAGGGAAAAGAGCTGTGCTAGCTGCAGTCTCTTGCAGCTGTGTGTGCACTGGTCCCCTTGTCCTGAGTCTGAGGGTCCTGGTGGCTGGCAAAGAAAGGGATGCTTCCTTACCTTTTAGCCTGGTTCCTAGGCTTAGAGAGCAGTCAGTACAACTGGCTTATGTTTCAAATTATGCTACCAGGTTGGTGTGTGGGACCATCCTGTCCTCTTTTGAACTCAAATACTTGTTGGTGTCACTAATCTAGCTTCTAGAAGTTTCCTGGCAGATTTAGTTTTTTTTTTTCTTTCTTTTTTTTTTTTGAGACAGAGTCTTGCTCTGTTGCTAGGCTGGAGTGCAGTGGTGTGATCTCGGCCCACTGCAACCTCCGCCTCCTGGGTTCAAGCGATTCTCCTGCCTCAGCCTCCTGAGTAGCTGGGACCAGAGGCACGCGCCACCACGCCCAGCTAATTTTTGTATTTTTAGTAGAGACGGGGTTTCACCATGTTGGCCAGGATGGTCTCGATCTCTTGACCTTGTGATCTACCCACCTCGGCCTCCCAAAGTGCTGGGATTACAGGCGTGAGCCACCGCGCCCGGCCAAATTTACTTTTTAAAGGTCATTTTTTTTCTGATTGCAGTAGTAATAATAATAGAATGACTCACGTTTACTGAAAGCGTATTCTTTGCCAGACACAGTCCTAGTATTTTAAATATATTGACACACTTAAATCTCACAGCAGCCCTTATGAATTAGGGGCTATTGATATTTTCATCTTACAGGTAAGGAAATTAAAGAGACATTTTCAAACTGGCTTAAATCACACAACTATTGAGTAATATATATTCATTATAGAAAATTTGAACTGTGGAAAAATAAAAATTAAATAAAAAATTAGCCATCATTTCATCATTA